CGTCTCCTCCCGGTGCTTTTTTGGGGTTCATTTCTCTGATAATGTCAATAACTTCGGAGTTTGTGAAGGGTATAGCCTCAGGACCTAGACGGAGAGAGGTCGATTCAAAGAATTAATAGACCTCATCTCTTATTTTGCGGTGTGCTTCTGACTCGACATGTTCCATGTCTATAGGGAAAAATGAGTTGGCGAGAAGCGTGGCAGAATCTAAAGGCGTAAGCACGTTGTTAGATTCAGGGTGTCGTAAAAATAAATATTCTCAGAATACGGTACATGCGTTGCCACATTGTTTCCATTTTTTGTGAAGAACAGAAGTTTTTCTAGCTATCAGTTATAGCGTCCTGGATGCTTTGTTTGTATTTTTGCTTGGCCACGACATAAACTCTTAATGTTATAATCAATACTAGAATTGTCCTCTAAATTAGTTAATTAGAAAATAATAATTTTAGTCGAGTTCGATAAATATTTAAACCGAATATCGATAGTTCATAATTGTTCGCTGCGTGTTTCGTCACTACGATACCTGTCTAAGTGCGGCATTTTTCATACAAATTGAATTCGATACTTCATATGCGTCATTTATCAAACTAATCTATCTTATTTAGACAAACTATAGAGGGTAATTTAACTTAATAAAGATGAGCAAAATAAAACCAACAATAACGATCAATAAATTTATTTATAGCAATAAAATTTGTGATTCACAATATTACAACCGATACAAAAAAAACTTACAAAAACTCCAAGCTTTAGTGCAACTTTGACAAGGCTCGGTGTTGCCATAAGACTTAACTACTAAAATGGCGTTTATTCGATGTTAATATTAGATAAGGTTAGAATATATTCTTCCATAAAATATAAAAGACCAACAATTCGGTTTTTTGTTCAATAAAAGAAACAAAACAAAAAAAAAATCTTGGGAAGGGGGGTGGCTGAAAACCAGCTCGACCCTGGATCTCAACCAGTATCTGTTAAGCTGAGCCTCCCCCTTTTGCATTCTGTTATAATTTTTTCATGTATGTTTTTTTTATTTTGTACAACTCTGTGTATTCTTGGATGGCAATAAAGAGGTTTTTATTTATTTATTATTTAAAAAAACACTAATTATTGCAGTTTTATTTTAATGGTATCCAAAACCTTATCTTCCAATAACATCGAAATATCTAAAATAAATGATAATTCGTATATTACTAAAATTAAACAAGTAATAAAGGTATATGTGCTTTCAAATATTTTATAATCTACTTATACTCTCTATGGCTGGTCGAATTATTATAAGTAACTAGCTATTACCCGCAACTTCGCCCGCGTGAAAATAAAAAATAAAGTCTATGTTACTCACAAATAAATTACCTTTCTGACGGTGAAAGATTGTTAAAAATCGGCCCAGTTCTTGTTACGTGAATCGAATAAATACAAAATCCAAATCTTTCAAAATAAACTATTTGGATTTTTATATGTATTTGATTCACGCAAAAACTACTGGACCGATTTTAAACATTCTTTCACCATTAGAAAGGTAATTTATCTGGGACTAACATAGGCTATACTTTTTTTAACATTTTTAAATTTTACACGGGCGAAGTCGCGGGCAAAAGCTAGCAATACAAAAAAACTTTTTTTAATAACCTCGACATATGTATTGAAAATTAAAAAATCAAGAAATATGTTAGAAACAGTATCTTTTAACAAAATGTATTCGCTAATATAATCAAATTTATATTGTATATTGTACTATATTCAACAAAAACATTCATTTTTGTAACATAACTGGTATTTTTTTAACTTCTAATCCAACACCGCACAAAGCTTAATATAATCTGTATTTCTCTTAGCTGTATATCTGATACCTAAATTTAGAAAGGCTCCTTTAAGGCTTTTTAATATAACTATATATTTTTAATTTTATACCGAACAATAACTCCATTTAAATATTTTATATAGTAACATTACAGATTAAATATAACGCCAATATTTTTTTTAATCTTTGCAATATTTATAAACAACACAATGTAAAATAATAAAATATTTGAAAAAACGGTTATAAGTGAAAAATTGCTTATTTACGTTATTTCCTAAAATAAATGCTTTCTAATATACTAAAATAAAAAATATTAAATAAACATGTTAACAATATTTTAAACAATTTGTGTCAAAAGAAATAATTTATTTCCAAATCGCATCTAAGGCTTTTGAGAACTTTTTACTTTCTTATATTAAAACTAATATATAAAGATAACTGCGTATTTATCTTTTTTATTGCAAAATACTTGATTTTTATTAATTTTGCTGACATTTTTTTGAACGTAAATAATCAGCTGATTTACAATCGCCATTTTGAAGACGCAGTGATGTGAAAGTTGCGAACATGATCGATGTATCGATTTATGAACAGATCATCGAAAATCGATTTCTAAATTTTTTAAAATTGAAATACGTTTACATATAAAATGTTATTGCATTTTCTGTAAATGTAACAAAATTATTAGAAAGCTTTAAGATATATTTATATATCGAATTTTATTCAATCTTAGGTATATTTGTTTTAGTGTTATTTTGATTTTATTTGTATGTTGTTTATTCTTAGACTAAGAGCGGACTAATCCATCCAGTCGTCGCCACCGAAATCGACATTTTCTGAGAAGGATGATACATTCACCTGCGAAATATTGTTATTTTTATATAAATGCAAAGTTTAAAATATGTGTAGGAGAAACGGAAACACTTAAGGCCTGTCACACCAAATTGTAAATTGTCAAACAATCCAACGTATAAAATATGTGATGGAAATATTGGATTTTGGTACTATCTGACAGTGACGTCACCTTTAAGCTATCTGAGTCTCTATCAGTCAGTAGCGGGACAGGTCCTTAGCCGTGCATTTATAGACTTCATGTAAACGTGCAATTCCCTTTTACGCAAAGTCAAGAATACATGACCGTTTAATTAAAAAGGGAAAAATCAATAAATACAAATTGAAAAATATTCTAAACAGTGTTGGAGATGTAACAAGCCTCCTTTTATTTTTTCTTTTTTATATTTTTTTGAAATTAGAATAGAAGTTTAAATTTTGTTATTCTTTTTAAAACATCATTCCATTTTAAATCTTAAGTTTTAGGCTGTATATTATTTATTTTACCCTTTTTCTATTACAAATCTTTACTAATATTATAAATTAGATATATTGATTTGTATTTTTGAATATATTGGAATAACTCAAAAACTACTGGGGCAATTTTAAAAATTCTTTCACCGTTAGAAAGGTAATTTATCTGAGTAACATAGGATATAATTTTTATATTCACGCAGACGAAAGCGTGAGCAACAGCTAGTTTATTTTAAAGTTTGAAAATTCTCCGCGCTGCTGCCTTTTACCTTTTAAGTACGTTAGTGTGTTAAATACATTATTTTTGACTGACTTTCCAAAAGAAGGAGGTAGTCAATTCGCCTGTATGTTTTTTTGTTTACCTCTTCTCTGGGCGAGTCGTTGCTGCTGAAGCCGCCGCCGAGCGCGTAGCCCGCCAGCCCGCCGGCCGCCAGCGCGCCCACGCCCAGCCCCACCGCCGCGCCAGTGCCCATGCCAGTGCGCTGCGGCTGGCCTTGCACGTACGTCGTCTCTAGGCCCTGTGTTAATACTTACGTCGTATACTATTGTGCTTAAAAACATACTCCAAGGCTAACCCCCTATCTATCTATACTAATATTATAAAGAAAGAAGAATTGTATTGAAACTGAAAAAAACTACTGGGCCGATTTTAAAATTCTTTCACTGTTAGAAAAGGATTTATCAGATTTTTAAGAAATTACAATTTATCAGAGTAATTAAGGCTATTTTTAATTTCACCGGATTAAGTCGCGAGCAACACCTAGTCTATATCCATACTATTGGTATAAAGAGGAGGAAAAAAACCTTTGTATGTATTGAAATAACTCAAAAACTACTGGGATAATATCAAAATTTCTTTTACAATGAAATAGCTACGTTATCAGTGAGTAACATAGGCTACATTTTTTTATTTTCACGCGGATAACAGCTAGGTTAATATATTGTCATATCTATTCCCTTCTCGTTTATTATAAAGCCTATATTTCTCCATGATAATGTAGGAGTCTTATAGCGAAGGAATTTTTAAATAAGTTTAGTAGTATCTGAGTTCAGTCATATATTTTGTCTTTTATGCATATTATAAGTAAAGAATACTTACACCAGTCGTCTGGAAACCTGGAAAATAAAATTAATATGATTAAATAATGAACTAGTACAAAACTAACGAGACAACTAAATAGTTCATTTTTTATAGAAAAAGCGGGCAAACGAGCAACGGATCGCTTGAGATTATTTGATCCGATGCCCATGAACAACAATGCCAAGGGTATGGATACTGTCCTTCCAAATACAATTTATTTAATTCATAACCAGAATTGGTATTTCTTTATGAAATTTCATTTTTCTTTCTCCTCACATATTAAGGCCTTATTCGTGTAACTTATCGACATTTACAAAAAAAAATCAATATTACATTATGTAAACGATTCCAATTTCTTACAAAAATGTATCGATTATTGGTTACAATCGATTTACTTAATTGAGGATTTTTTGATTCACATCCCTAAAACTTGACAGCTATAAATATTGCATTTTAGCGGCAAATTATGGTTTGAAATAAAACAACGTAATATAAATGCAAATACTGTATTAAGTAATCAAAGCTGCGTACATAATTTTTAAAACAATACAAAACATTTAGCAGCCGAACCTTACAATATAAACATTACAAACGTAGCCAAATTGTTTATTCATTAAATAACAATTATTTAATCTATATTTTTTGGAGGGAGTTCCTTGAACATAGATTATACAGGAAACATTTTTTAACCCTTAAAAGCCTGATTTTTCAATTAAAAATATACAAGTGTGCCCTTTACTGTGTTTACATATGATCCTTCGTACTTGTTCCCGAGAAATCTATACCTTCAAAGCATTTACGTGATATGCTTTGTTTTCTAACTTGAAGATTATAAGATAACATTTAAACAGTAATCTATACTATTATAATAAAGCGTAAACACACACTTCTTTGTTGCCTAAGATGTCAGCAATTACACCATATTTTTGAATAATTCTTTTTTAAATAAAAAGCCCTAAACTTACGTCACGCTTTGGGCTATATATTTTCACGACATTAAACTTAGGGTGTAAATATTATGAATAAAAACCCTAATGTGGAAAAAAGACCATAAGTTGCTGCCGACATCAAGAAAGAAAGATTGCTAAGGTTTGTCATGTCATTTTGACATTTGCTATTGATAATTTGACAAATGTAAACAATAAAATAAAATTTTATGCGGATCAAGTCTCACGTTAACAGCTAATATTAAAATAGAATCGATTATAGCCCAATGAGATTTATAACCCCGGTATCAAAGAAACATCAGCTATTTAAGGGTCAAATGATGTCACTTTATAGAAATAAATTCATGTTTATATTTCAATAATATTAAATATCTTATTTCTCAATTTAAAAAGGCATATATTTCATTTGTAACATAGTTGAAAAGAAAACATTTATTATTTGTCTAAATAAGATAGATTAGTTTGGTAAATGACGCATATGAAGTATCAAGCAATTTGTATGAAGGCAAATGCCGTACTTAATAGACAGGTATCGTAGTGACGAAACACGCAGCGAACAATTATGAACTATCGATATCGGTGTAAATAATTAACAAACTCAACTAATATTATTATTTTCTTATTAACTAATTTAGAGGACAATTCTATTATTTATTATAGTGTAGAGAATTTAGCGATGACAGAAATAATAGCGAAATCCAATTCGATTACGTACGGCTGTAGTAGTAATAAACATTTATTTACTCTCATTATTATGGTCATTATTAATTTGAGAAAAAGTGTTTTTTTTTTTTATTAAATTCATGAGTGTGTGTGATAACTAATAGATATATAGTGATAACTATAAATCTATCGATCACAACTTTTATAAGAATAAAAATCTAAAATCGATAAGATTCATGACTGATTACACAACCCATCCCTACTAAATTTGAAGTGAATTGTCAAACTAATCTAAATTATTTATACACACTATAGATTAAAACTGAAATTTGACAAGACACAATATTGCCAGTAACATTTCAATTCCACCAAAAAAATATTTTTCAACAATAAAAAATAAGCTTAAGCTATATTTTTTTGGATAAAGAATCTTAAATAACAATCACAAAAACACTTAAATATGAAGGTATATAAATATATCGAATGAAATATATAATATAGATGAAATACTTCACTGCACTGTTTTTCTCATGGTGCATCTGAAAGTTAAAAAATATATAAAAAATAACAAGCCGGACAGGAGCCAAGACTTCCATGAAAGGTAAGCAAAAAAGACAATAAATAAATTACTATTACGAGCAAGCGGCCTGAATCCACCGAAATAAAAAGCGACCGCTGCCCATAGACATCCACAATTGCAGCGTTGCTTACATAAAGAGGACATTTCCCCTTTCTATGTGTCTCCTCCACCGTAAAATCCACTTTTTCTTACCATCCTTTCCTCTTAAAAAAAGGGTGGAAAGGGAAGTTACTATTATTATTAATAACCAATAGTCTAATGGTTTGTGATACGGACTACCGATTTTGAGGTCGTGGGTTTGAATCCCGCCATTTGTCTATTGTGAACCATATCCTAGCACAAGTCTACAGCATAGTTGGAATGGTTAAAAGAAATATTAGTAAATTAACAAAAATCTACTAACATTAAAAAAAAAAAGAAGAAAGTAATCTATCAATCTAAGTGTCAGTATAGCCATATTGAAATCATCTGACATCCAACGTGTAATATATGATGGAAATATAACTTGTTCCCTCTGACAGTGACGTCATTAAGCTATCTGAGCCTCTATCAGCCATTAGTGGGACAGGTCCTAAATATCGGAAATCTTACTAATTTTTTTTAACTAACGTCATGATTATATTTTTATTTAATACGAGCTATGGCCCGCAAACAATTTTAGTGTGGATTTAAAAAAAACGGTCATCTTCGCTAACAAAGATTTATTAGATATAAGATATCAGTAGTAATTAGAATCTATCTAAACTTTCTCTTCGAATTACAAAGATCTAGAAATTTCCATAATTAAAAACCCTATCAGTTTATTAGACAATTAGTATTGTACAATAAAAATCTACCTACATTGCATCGTCCGCATCAGCTACAAGTCATCAGTAGAAGCCTGTGCAGAAATAAAACAAAAAATAAAAAGTTGCCAGTTCACAAAAACTACCAAAACAGTATAATTAACATCATAATATTACCGAAACCCACCAAATCACCGACAGCAAAGAAATATAGTAAAGATAATGAAAATTAAAATGTACTGAATACATAAAATACCAAAAGATACTATTTAAAAGAAAGATAATTTAGGTTCAAAAAAAGTAATCATACTACTATTATAAATGCGAAAGTTTAGATGGATGGATGTTTGTTAGAATAGCCTAAACTGCTGAACGGAATTAGATGAAATTTGGTACAGATGTAGAGGACAGTCTGAAAGAACACATAGGCTACTTTCTTTTTTAATACCACGCGGACGGAGTCGCGGGCAGAAGCTAGTTTAGAATATTGGTAAGAAATTTTCGACGTATTTATTTTAAATATTTTTAACTGCAAAATAATATGAAACATAAATCTGTAAAGTTAACAATACATTAAAATGTTATGAAAATTCAAACATATAAATAAGTCTGTAATGAATACTTACCTTCTTTGTAAGTAAATACACTTTCACTCGCGATAATAATGCGCAAAAATGTCTCTATAATAAAGATATATCGAAATAAAATCAAAACATTTATAGATTATTAAATTAAGATTTTTTTCGGCATTATTATTAGCATAATGTTAATCAAATTCAATTTAAAAAGAATGTAAGAAATAGAATCAAATATTAGTTAATATGTTAAAATATTTATAAAAACTAAAATAAAAAAGATACCTTACATTTGCACAGAGAATAATCTAAAACTACCAATTAACAGGATACTTAATCTATGATTTTTCATAATCTATGATAACTCGATGTTAAAACCTTTTTGGCGGGAATTTTTTTTCTTGAATTAAAATACCTTTACAATAGCGTTAGTATATCTGATTAAGACCACAGACTAAATAATCTACAGCAAGGCCATTTTAACAGGTCGCATTTGACACAATTCAACAAACGTAACGACGGGCAAAAAAATATGATTTATTTGAAGCTATTTTGTTAATAAAACGTTACATACGTCAAAAAACACTTTTTAAATACATTATGAAGCTATAATAAAACGATTAACTTTATATAACTAAATTCGATTAACACATATTTGAACTCCAAATCGATTTTTAGTATAATCGATGTTTTTAAACATGCCACTTCACTATGAAGCTGAAATTGACAGATGTCAAATTCAACCTATTAAAATGGCCAACCAATTAGAAGTAACAACATGCTGTCCCTTTCTAAAATATTTCATCTCGTCAAATAAGAGATTATTCAATTTAAAATATGAAAATGCATGTTGAAAAATAGGATTTTAGGAAACTTATTAAATACAAAAAAAAATTGCAATTACTATAAATAATTACACATTTTAAGCTTAAAATAGCAACAAAAAAGTCAAGTTACGTCCTTTATAATTTTATGAAACAAACATTTTCATATAAAACCAACAAAATACCTAATATTTAGTTAATGTTATTCCAAAGCACCTTTAAAATATGTGTGCAATTCATACCTTGAGGAGCGCCGTACCCGGGGGCTCCGTACACGGGGGGCGGAGCGCCGTACGCGCCATACGCAGGGGGCTCCGACTGAAATATAACATCAATTTAAAGAAATATATACTAGAAGTTAATTTCAACAATGAAAAACCGACAAAATTTTAAAATTTAGATACATTTGTAATAAAAAAACATCAAAAAGTACTGGACACATTTAAAAAAATTCGTTCACTATAAGAATGCTGTAATATTAAGAGGAAATATTTGGATTGTTTTTTTGGATTCAAATAACTAAAAAACTACTGGGCCGATTTCAAAAATTCTTTCACCATTAAAAAGCTTAGTAACACAGCCATATTTTTAACCGTTTATTAATTTCACGGGGGCAAAGTCACGAGCAAAAATTAGTTGCTAGAGTACTAGTGAATTTAGTGGATGATTGAATCCCTAAGTTAGATGTTTTTACAAAAGCTTTATTAATAAAGACTATAATATAATACCATAAACATTTGTGAAGGCGGCGCCTGCGCACCCTCGAAGCCTACAAACTGCAGCATGACGTCACCATCCACAGTCATATGCGAGATGCGCTGGTACGGCAGGCGGTGCGGGAACTCGCAGAAATGGACACCATTTAGTGCTATCTGTATACAAAATATTCTCATATAGGGTTGTAACGGAACTCCGCTTCCGCATCCGCAAGTATATCCGCAAGAAATATTAATTCCGCATCCGCTTCCGTTATTTCTTTTACGCTATATTGGGGTGATTAGGTATAGTTTATGCCCGCGGGGGCATAAGTCAATAAATTATAATTGTTATACAATATATTTGCATAATCAACTGTATTTTGTAATTATATACCAGTCTGTATTTTAAATCAACGTGATTTTATTTTATTTTTATTTTTTTATTTCTTTAATAAATCGCAATTAACATTATATTATTGACTTCCGCTTCCCCTCTGCATCCGCATCTGTTAAAATGGCCTCCGTTACAACCCTATTTGAGTATATTAGAAAAAGTTTTTATTATATATTACAAAGTGGTAAACGAGCAAGCAGCCACCTGAAACTGCCTAAATAGCTAAGAGACTGGCACCAGACATCCACAATTGCAGATGCGTTGCCTACCCTTAATCCACGGAGACGCACATAAAGAGGATATTTCCCTTTCCTATGCATCTCCACCACTGTCTAACACTTAATCAGACGAATCGCGGAATTGCTTCCACTTCACGCCTGTCTGTGATGAATGTCTATTAGAGTTTATAACCTAAACGGCTAAACGGATCTCGATGAAATTTGGCATAAAAGATAGTCTGGAAGAATATGTTGACTTCTTTATTTTCTTAAATTCCACGCGATTTTGTTTTTATATTATAAGGTGCAAACGAGTAAGCGGCCATCACAATCAGCCAAAATGGCGAAGCGACCGCTGCCCATAGACAACCACTATTGCATATCCGTTGCCTACCTTAAATCGACGGAGGAAGAGACGCCCATAAAGATGATATTTCCCCTTCCTTAGCATCTCCTCCACCATCAAATCTACTTTCCCATCCAATCCTTTCTTTATAAGAGGGTGGAACGTGAAAGGGACTAAAATTAGACCTCTGGCGATTATTCGTGGGCAAGAGCTGCTAACTATCATTGTCGAGTACAAAAAAATAATTACTACATAAAATTGCATAAGTATTTCCTGCTTATTTTTCTAGTCTTGATAATCATTCTAGAAGATTCTTACCTTTATAGATTGTGGTTCACAGAGCAACAGAGCTTCGAATGCCTCCCCCCTGGCCAGCGGCATACCACCAGCTGTATCCTCCACTCCCCAGTTCATCGCCGTCAGATGGTTGCGGACAACACACATCTCTATGAAGCGGAAGTTCAGATGGAGTGCGATATCATCACGAGGGTCCGTGTTTGGACCACATTGTAAGTTTATAGCGAACCTGGAAAAATTATTTTGCTAACACTATTGGGTTAAATATTTAACAATATAAGTAACAAGCAAAGACAAGGTAATGTACAATTAGAGGCTAAATTAATTCATGTATGTAACTAATAAACTCAAAAACTATTGTAGTTATTTTAAAAATTAATTTACTATTACAATGCTACATTATACTTGAATGATATAAGCTATTAGCGGTTGCTCGCGACATCGTCTGCGTGAAATGAAAAATAATAAAACATAGGCTATGTTACTCACTGATAACAGCTTTTTAATGGTGAAAGAATTTTTGAAAACGGTCTAGTAGTTTTTGAGTTATTTCGATACAAAAATACAAATATTTCCTCTTTATATTATTAGCATAGATGGAACATTATAATATGCACAAGCAAATAGTACATTTAATAGACACATAATCTACATACAAATATATGACTTAATATACCTCTGAGCGCCAGGGGGTACACTGCCTTGGAATCTGATCATTCTGCCAGGGAACATGCCCCCAGGGATGGGGTGCACACATGGCACTATCTACAAACAAGGAGAAACATCATAAAATGACACTGGATGGTGATGATTTCTTGTGTATATTTTAATATATCTAAACTTTCATGAGACATCATAATCTAATTAAGAATGGCTTAACTCACACATTGTTCAGTGATGACACTAATTTTGGACAAGTTCTCAGTATCTGATATTAGATCCCAAAGAGTTCAAAACTAGTTAGTGCCACTAACCAATATATTAACAGTGTTAGGTCTTAGTGTATAACTGATGAGTTAAGTGACATCCTCTGAGAGTCTTAGGATGTTGTCAGTTGAGTTATTTCATATATTATTATATATACATACATTGCACTATACATGCCATAAAGGTTCAAATTTACAGTATAAATGTGTGCTAAAATGGTTGGATAAATTTTGATGTATTCAGCACAAGCTTCATACAGTCGGACATAGATAAGCAAAAGTCCACAAGCTGCAATAATAATCTTATTATACAAAAACTCTAGTAAAGATTCTAATGATTTTCACTTATAAATATTTCACACTTCTTTAGGTTTGAATATACATCATCATCTCCCCTGCCTTATCCTACTCCCGTAGGATCAATTTAATGTATGATGTCATACATTACTGTTGTTTGTATATTTATTTTAATCTTAATTGACATTAAAATTAATATTTGTATAAGCCAAAATTATATTTACTCATTAGTCATATCCTATATTGTTTCTCTGAGTTTTTTTTTGAAGAAATGTCTGACAATTATAGAATTCAAGTAATTTGATGAATAATTATCATGTTTAATTACTTTTGTAGTCCCATTATTATCGTTTTAGTATGTTATTTACATTATGTTTATAAACAAATGAATCCTATAAAGCAAAATAGTAGATATATAGGTAAAGTTATATATCTTGTAACATTTTAATATATTGCACAAGAGGAAAAAGAAAATTAAAACCATAAATATAACTCGTGACGATGTAACGCTTGTGGAAACCGGCAAAACCTTGAAACTCCATTTAACGTCTACAAAAACGTTTTAGATGTGCCTTTAAATGGTTTCTGATAAAACAACAGCGTACATTGTGTTTACACGGCAAATAATACAGCTATCAAGCGGCGACGTCGCCCTTGAAAACGTTAAAAAGTGCTATATCCTATTTTCATATTCGTGACAAACAACATGCAAATTTTTTTAAACCACTTACTGGATTATAGATCGGTGGAGCGGCCATCTTTTGCTGCTAAACGATTGATTATAAGCGAATATACACTGAGTTTACACCTTAATGCTATGGATACGAAACTAACATTAATAAAATATCAGATTCAATAGCCGTTGCCGAATGTTAGATTACTGAAGAATGCGTCATACGTCATATGACGAAATATCGGAAAAATGTCAGTTTAATTAGGGATGGGCTGTCAATGGTCGTTAAATCGACTTCGATAATCGATTTTATTCAAGATATCTTATGCGAGTGTTTGCGACTAAGTAAACATCTGAGAGTTTAAAATTGAAACATTTGAACAAAAATAATTGGTTTACTAAGATGTTTAAAAGTGTAGAAAAATGTTTAAATTGAAATCATTTTTTAACAATGATTTTGCATCGATTTTACAATTGCCTCACTAAAAAATTAGATGTGACACGGTCATATGACTGGCAACTTTGATATTTTGCTTCATTGACGCAATATCATTTCGCTCAATTTTTATTAAAAGCAAAATGGTGTAATTATTCCTTAATTAAAGTCAATTTATACCAATCGAATTTGCATAACCAACTTTTGAACTGTTACATTATTCTGTAACATCGTTATTCGACAACATTGGTCTTGTTTTGCTACAAAAATGACTATCGAATGCAACAAGGACGATGCAGATCGATGCATTGAAATCGCTCAAAATGCTTTATCTGCTGGAAACATTGAAAAAGCTGAGCGATTTTTGTTAAGAGCTGAACGTTTGTATCCTACTGCACGCGCCAAAGAGCTGCTAATCCGTCTTAGGGCTGCAGGAAATGCTGGTGCACCGCCGAAACGAAGTCCCCCGAATTCTCCAAGTGCTGAAGAAGTGAGACGCAGGAAGACTCCGTCACATCAACCACCACAGAGAGAGTACACTCAAGATCAATTGGAGGCGGTCCGAAGGATTAATACTAAATGCAAGGATTACTATGAAATCTTGGGTAAGTTATCAACAATGAAACGTAAAGTTCTACCAAAGTAAAATGACGCAAATAATTGTCTATTCAATGCTGTAGCTGTACAGATTTCAAGGTCATGGACATAATGCTTTTTAGAGCATATTTATATCATCCCAGATAAATGGTACTCAAATAAAAGTTTCACTTGTACTTTAGACAATAAAAATGAAGTTTCCTTAGTTAAGATTGACAAGGACGTGTTTACTTCACTTTTGTTTTGAAATAATCGAGTTATCTTAATAATGGTTTGTTTTTATTTTTTAATATTATACTATTTTTGAGTAGTTAAAGAAGTATAACTATGAATTCTACAGGTTTTCTGGTAGTTAAAAAACTAATAAAAATCCTATTCCCCAATTAGTTGGATTACCCATCAATCAATCTTTATAATTAAAAGTTTAAAACCAACTTCCAATGAGACCATAGCTTTAGTTGCTGCAGACATTGACTGGGAACACAACAAGTTACATTTAATTAGATTAGCTGGACTGTTATATAAGTAATATACATAAAGAAACCTTTTAACTGTTATGTGACTAATAAGCTAAAACTGTTGCTAAAACATTTGTTCAACATGCCCAATGTCTATCTTCAGTCCTTTTAACTAATTTTTGCATCTTACTGCAACACCGGCGGGGAAGATGCGCGGCCTATCTGTCATTGTCCATAATCCGCTCGTCCGGCCAAGTGCAGTCCCAGCCACCAGAGGGCAATACATATTCAATAAGAAATAGTCCATAATTTCACATGGTCGTCGAGACGCAATGTCGCCATAATAGCTGAGTGGCCTCGTAAATGTAGCTAAGTAAAAAAAAATATATCATCAGAAGGCCAGAATAGGCTGAATATTTAAAGCAACCACTATATAAGCAATTGCAGATTGTCTTCCTTTAATCAATGATACACAGAGGATATATCCTTCTCTTGTATGTCTCCAACTCTTATATCCATTTCCTTCCATCTTTTCCTCATAAGAGAAAGGTGGAGATGTAAGGGAAAACAAATTTAGCTACAGCACACTTATGTTCTGTGCCGTACAATATTCCAAGCAGCTAATTTTTAACGATACTATTGTTCAAATGCTGAATGTTTGTTCCAGGTGTGTCAAAGGAAGCTACAGACTCTGACATAAAGAAGTCCTACAAGAAGCTTGCGCTCCAGCTGCATCCAGACAAGAACCATGCGCCTGGAGCTGCGGAGGCTTTTAAGGTATATTTCTCGTTATGCATCTGCATTGATTAACAAGGCAAAGCATCTGGTTTTGTAGTAGTGGCTACATTATTCCCACAATATCAAGTGACTGTTTGCTTGTTTACTACAATACATTGTCTGTCTGGATTTACAAAAAAATAAATGCAAGTAGCCTATGTGTTCTTCCAGACTATATATCTGTACCAAATTTCATAAAGTTCTGTTCAGCCATTTAGGCTACAAATTCTAACATTTCCGTTTCATTTTAAACTTTCGCTTTTATAGTATTAGTAAATTTAGTCCCTTTTCCTTTCCATCCTTTTCCTCAGAGGAAAGGATGGAAAGGTGGATTTGACGGTGGAGGAGACGCATAGTAATGGGAAATGTCCTCTTTATGAGCGCCTCTTCCTCCGTCATTGAAGGGTAGGCAACGCAGCAATTGCGGATGTTGATGTGCAGCGGTCGCTTTCCATTTCGGTGGATTCAAGCCGCTTGCGAGTTTGCCATCTTATATTATAAAAAAATGAAGTATGATATAAAGAGGAAAGATTTGTATTATTGTACTTTTGTTATGTATTGAAAAAACTCAAAAAAGTATTTGGATGACTTCAAAACTTATTGCACCATTAAAATCTACAGTATCACTAACATAGGCAATATCTATTTTTTTTTTCTAAATTTTACAACAATATTAAACACTAGCTGTTGCTCGAGACTTCGTCCGCTTGGATATAGAAGTTAATTTAAAAAAAATAGCTCTTATTTACTCACTCATAAATTACCATTCAAACAGTGAAAGAATTTTTAAAATCGGTCCAGTAGTTTTTGAGTTATTTCAATACATACAAAAATACAAATCTCTCCTTTTTTAATACTAGTATAGACTAGCTATCGCCCGTGACTCCGTCGTCGAATTGAAAATGAAAAAATATTTATTTTAAGAAAAATTACCACAAACTTAACCTAATTTACATTTTTTTTTTACACACTAAACATAAACTAAAATAAACAAAAAACAGTAAAGTACTTAAATAAGTATGTAAACAAATCTGTAGGCTAGTTTGCTTATTAGCAAATTGTTCAGCTACCCTCCGTACTAGTATAAAAACTGTATTACGGCAGGGCAGTGCGGCCAGTTGCTGTGAGTATCTGCTGCTGCAGTAATTAAAAAACAACAAAAATGAGTAGCCGATTTCTTCCAAACTATCCTCTACGTCTATACCAAATTTCATCATGATCCGTTCAGCCGTTTAGGCTACAAACTCTAACATCCATCCATCTAAACTTTCGCATTTATATTAGTAAGATTAGTATATATATTTTTCCATGTGACAGGCTATAGGCAACGCAGCAGCGATCTTAACAGATCCAGAGAAACGCAAGCAGTATGATGTGCGGGGTGAGGAGCCGGCACACACCACACACCATCACCAAACATACTATGCTCGAGGATTTGAATCGGATCTTACTGCGGAGGAGCTTTTTAATATGTTCTTTGGAGCTACAGGTCAGTTCTTTGGTATTATTCCCAACTGTCACCCAATCTGTCCCCACGTGACGACATGAGACTAAAACGTTTCATCCGTCTTACCTTTTTGCGACGAGGATGGTTGGAACTTATTCCATAACTTTTTCATCTGTCACCTTATTGGTGATGGTGGGACGGATGAACTTTTTCTCACGTGGGAACAGAGTGAGGTGATGGTTGGGAATAATCAGTTCTTCGTTTTATTTATATCGAAACTTTTTTATTTACAAGTGTTAACATTACTTTTGGGAGGTTCAAGCGTCCCCGCAGACTCCATGTCAACCACCCATTGTCATGGCATATCTAATTGAGTTATTGGGTTGTCTCATTGCCTTGTTCAACCCTCTTCCCTCATCCATTCGCTTCCTCTAAATTATTTTTCAGTCGAGTAAAAAGCAAGTTAAAATTTAACATAGTTTTTTTATAATATAAGGTAGCAAACAGGCAAGCATTCTGAATCCACCGAAATGGAAAGCGACCGCTGCACATAAACATCTGCAATTGCAGCGCTGCCTACCCTTCATTGACGGAGACGCACATAAAGAGGACATTTCACCCTTCCTATGCGTCTCCTTCACCGTCAAATCCTAAAAAAACTTTGTTTTTTTTATATTAACATTGTGGTATTATAATAGAGGGTCGGTGGCTCAAGGGTCTAAACACTTCTATTCTAGAAATCAAGATATCTACAAATCTTGGGTTCGAATTCCGCCATACCAACGTTTTGCGATTTATCTAATTTCATATGTGTATACATTATGGTGAAGAAAACATACTGATGTATATTGGTGTAGAAATTCAAAGATATGTGTTTAACAGTGGTAGAGCCCGTTTTAACATCTTCGCATGAATTGGCCGGCTCGCCCGGTGTAATACCACGACCACACAGAAAACAGGCGTGAAGTGGAAGCAATTCCATGTTTGGTCTGAAGAGTGTGGTGCTGGAGGCCTAATTTAAGTCCCTTTCTCTTTACCATCCTTTGCTTATAAGGAGAGGTTGGGAAGGGGTAGTGGATTTGACGGTGGAGGAGATGCATAGGAAGGGGAAATATCCTCTTTATGTGCGTCTCCTCCGTCGGATAAGGGTAGGCAACGCATCTGCAATTGCGGATGTCTATGGGCAGCGGTCGCTTCGCCATGTTGGCAGATTCTAGTGGCCGCTTGCTGGTTTGCCACCTTATGATATAAAAAAAAGATGTGTGAAATTCCGCAGTGGTTGACTATGTCAGTAACTAACTTAGGGTCCCCCTCAGTGGTGATAGCTGGTGATGTTTTCAGCATTCTCCGGAGGTGGCCCAACTGTGTACAGCCGGCGACGTGCTCGTGAGCCGGAGCCCCGCGAGTCCCACACCAGCCTGGTGCAGCTGCTCCCGGTAGCTGTGCTGGTACTCCTCTCCATGATGTCGGGCTTCTTCATCAGCGAGCCCGTCTTCAGCATCACTGCTAACTCCAAGTATCCTGTGCCCCGGGAGACTGTCAACTTAAAGGTCGGTAGACTTAATAGCTATTAAAATACCAAAGCAAGGAATTACTGAAAGTTTTCCCCTTCCCATACATCCCTACTCTTGCTATTTCTACTTCCCTTTTTTATTAGAAACTAGCTTTTGCTCGCGACTTTGCTCCCGTGATATAAAATAAATAGTAAAAATATAGTCTATGTTACTCAGTGATAACACAGCTTTTTAATGGTGAAAGAATACATACAAAAGTAATATTAGTGTACACTAGCAGTTTCCCTGCGGCTTCATCCGTATAATTTAGCGTTTCACGCCTGAATATTTTCTCCAAATTATTCACCCCTAAATTAAATAGCGTTAAAATATAGCCTAAAGCGTGTAAGTGTTAGGGCTTTTTATTAAATAAAGGATTATTCAAAAACACACTGTGATTGCTACATATTACGCTACGATGTAGTGTGTTTACTCTTTATGGTATTAAAACTAGCTGTTGCCCGCGTTAGAATCGTACTCAGGTTCAATAAGTAAATGTTACAACTACAGTGATTTAGAAAATCAAACATCTAATTTAGTTTCAAGAATCATTTGAAGTTGTATGGGAATATATTAAATATGGACGTCTGTTAATAAATGAAAGTGACAGCTAACCATTTCCTTGTGAGGCAAACCTGGATATGAACAATACATAAATAGATAATAATTATCATTTTATCTCAGTTAGTATTAAGTACCACATTTTAACATCAAATGTTCTAATAAATAACACTATTTTGTCCTATCAAACTCCCGCGACTTCGTCCGCGTGGTATTAGAAAACAGACGAACTATGTAAATAACGTATCCCTCGGGAACCGGACATTTTTCGCGGATGAAGCTTATCCCATGTGTACTCCAGACTTTGTCTTATATCTGTGCCTTTCAATAAGATATGTTGAACCGTTGCAGAATTATCGAGTAAACATTAAAATACAAAATTTAATGCATCCCACGGGAATCGTAACTATTCCCGGGATAAAAAGTAGCCTATGTGTTCTTCCAGACTATGCTCTAAATCTGTACCAAATTTCATCAAAATCCGTTCAGCAGTTTAGGCAAACTAACACACCATCTAAACTTTCGCATATAATATCAGTAAGATTACC